TGCGATACCCTGCGGCACCGCTGGGCTTGCCTTTAGAGCAGCAAGTGGAACCTAAACATCTAGGCCGCAACATCTCCCCGTCTCCCCAAGAGTCGCTGCTCGTCTTGGGAGGCAGCGAGGACTGGGGCCTCCTTTTGGGGCAGCCTCTTCAATCTCTCCCAGGAGGCCTGCCCTTGCCGGGGGCTGAGAGGGGACTCGGCTGTGAGGAGGCACCTCTGGCCTCATGCCAGACTTGTTTTCCCTCATGGTGAACGGGGCGGGGAGGGTTTTGGTTGTGAAATGCCAGCGTGCTGCTCGAAAAGGCTCCGCTTGGGCAGAAGGGGCTGTACGGGTCACATGCCAGCCCAGCAGGGCTCCATGCAAGAGAAGGCACTACAAAGAGCGATGTTTTGGCAGCTGGGAAAGGGTTTGGAGGCCTCTCTTAGGAGATGCTTGTATTGCCAAGGCAGGGCAGTTGTGTCTCCCCTCCCCTCGCTATACGTACGTGGTCCTGGTGTGATGCTTGAGGGATTGTTTAGGGAAGAAGCAGCGAGTCTTCATGGAGGCCCAGAGTGCAACCCCGCTCCTGGCTTCTTGGCAGAGGTGGCATCAAATGGACGAAAGGGGAAGGCTGCTGCCTAGCGTGGCACTGGTGTTGCCCCAAAGTAGGCACCTGCCCCCTATGATCTCAAAAAACTGTTCTATGCCTTATCCTGCTGTTATAAGAATTATAAGGTCTCAAATATAAATTAAATGTTCCTAAATGTACAAGGCAAACACATACATAAGTATATAAACCCTGTGTCTGAAATAGTAAAGGTAAAGGGACCCCTAACCATTAGGTCCAGTCATGGCCGACTCTGGGGTTGCGGCACTCATCTCACTTTATTGGCCGAGGGAGCCGGTGTACAGCTTCTGGGTCATGTGGCCAGCAGGACTAAGCCGCTTCTGGCGAACCAGAGCAGCACACGGAAATGCCGTTTACCTTCCCGCCAGAGCGGTACCTATTTATCTACTTGCACTTTGACGTGCTTTCGAACTGCTAGGTTGGCAGGAGCTGGGACTGAGAAACGGGAGCTCACCCTGTCGCGGGGATTCGAACTGCCGACCTTCTGAGCAGCAAGTCCTAGGCTCTGTGGTTTAACCCACAGCACCACCCGTGTCTGAAATAGTACAGGAGAGCAATCCTGAATCCATTTTGACTCTCCCAAATTGACCTCAAATATTTCTCTGCAAGGAGGAAGGAAATGGGAAAGCCTCCCCATTGTCTTTTGCTTACAAATCCTGTCTTCAGGGCGTATTTGTGTATGAATAGGGTGAGCCTGAGACCTGGATTCAGGAACTAAAGTATTAACCATCACAAAAGAATAGCCGGGCTGCCCAGGTAAAGCAATCAGTGACCATTATCAGGTATCCTGGGAGGCCGGATTTAGACCACTGTAGACCGCCTCCCCTGCTGTAGACTCCTCCTTCTGTGATGTATGTATGGTGTTTTAGGGGGGGTCTTGGGCTACAGGGTGGGCAATTTCAAAAGTCTATATAAGGGCTTGCGCACCGTTGTTCGGCGTGCTCCTCCCTCCTGCGTGTGGTGAGTGGGGACCCCGTTGCAACAGTTTAAGAAAGATTAGGCTTACTAGCTGCTTTGCTTCTCAATATACAGTGGTACCTTGGGTTAAGAACTTAATTCGTTCCAGAGAACCTGAAACTGTTAACCTGAGGAAACACTTTAGCTAATGGGGCCTCCCGCAGCTGCCACACCACTGCCGCACAATTTCTGTTCTCATCCTGAAGCAAAGTTCTTAACCCGAGGTACTATTTCTGGGTTAGCAGAATCTGTAACCTGAAGCGTCTGTAACCTGAAGCGTCTGTAACCCGAGGTACCACTGTACTCTGGTTGGCCTCTGTTATTTTCTCCTACCAATAGGGGACCCACTTAAGGACTCTATACGGGCTCTTGGATACCCCATAAGAGAAAAGGAGCAGGTTTTTTTTTTCTTATAACACTGCCATTGTCAGAGATCTTCCCTCCATGTCCTCTGCCTCAACACTTGGAGAAACTTCTTGGTTCATCTCCGTGCTGCTGCAGTGCCGACTGACGTCTGTTTGTGTCGGAAGATGCCACCGTCATGGGCCAGAAGCGATGAGCAGCCAAGGTGAAGGCAGGAGGGCACAGGCAACCCCCACTCAACACTGTCAGCCCCTTCATGACGCACCTCTGTGGGCCGCACCTTCTCAAGAAGGTCTCCCTTCATTAGCTTTCTGCTGCGGCTCTTCTGAGGGCAGGTTGACGCTTTTGTCACTGGCAATTTGTTGAAGGAGAAGGAGAAGAAGGGTTTGTTGTGAGCAATGAGGTCGCGCCGTCTCCACACAGACCTAATTACTTTGCACTACAGCAAAATGAAATGAGGCCCATGAGTCACTGAGGAGGAGATGGAAGGAACGGGCCGGAGGAGGCAGCCGGCTCCTCTCCCATCAAGAGAGAGCTGTCAATCCATTTGAGCCCGGCATGCCGATTAATCATCCAACTTTCCGACTCCCGTAGCAATTAGAAGAGGCCTGCTGGGTCAGAGCAAATGCGGCCCACCTAGCCTCTTGTTCTCACAGTGGGCAACATGGGAATCTTGGAATCGTAGAGTTGGGTCCCCAGGGGTCATCTAGTCCAACCCCCTGCAATGCAGGAATCTCAGCTAAAGCATCCATGAGAGATGGCCATCCAACTACCGTTTGAAAACCTCCAAGGACAGCTCTTACTATATTTTGCCTCACTTGTGACCCTCAGAAACTGACTTTAGATAAAGCCAGGAGCCACATTGGCCCATGGCTACAAAAAAACAACAACCACAAAAAATAAAAACAAACAAAAACCCTCAATGCTAGTGCCTCTTTCAGCTTCTGAAGTCTCAAGTGGCTTAGAAATGAACTAAACCTCATTGTTTGAAAGAAAGGCCATTGCCCATACTTTTGCTTTCATTCCATGTCCCTGTAGCACAATGGTAAGCAAAGTATTGTTGATCTTATGCTGTTCATGACCATATTTTCCCCCTTCCCAATGTTGATATTTTTTCCGAAAGAAATGATAACCCCTCAAAATAAAAGCCTGTGCCCTTGACTTGCAGCCTCGTCAATGAGTTAAACTAAAGCTTGAATCGAATTTATGTGCAGATTTGGCTGGTAACTTATCTGGTCTCTGGTCAAACAGGCTTTTTGGATTGTTGAAATACCTACAAACCTACAAACCTGTTTGACCCGAGATGACGGCAGGCTGAAGGAATAAATGTATTGCACCCGAACATACACACTGACCGTTCTGCCATGGCCCTTTCCTCTCTCTAAAACAGCTTTCCTCAACCTGACACCCTCCAGATGTTTTGGACTACAATTCCCAGCAGCCCCAGCAGCAGCAGCAGCATACAGCTGTGCCGGCTGAGGTTGATGGAAGCTGTGATCCAAAACATCTGAAGGGCAGCAGGCCGGGGAAGCCTACTGCAGACACTCCCTGACCTCAGCTTTAACCTTTATGCTTTCTAAATATTTCAATGGGCCTATTTTTGACAGGAGGGGAAAATAAATGACCTGAATAATTAGAAGCACCTGCTTTGAAAGCAAAAGGTCCACGTTTCATCCTCAGGAGCCCAATCCCCGGGAGGTTGGTGCAGGGGGGGCAATGCACTCCACACAATCCATGACACTCACAGCACCTCCTCTGGGCTTCCCTTGCCTCAATCTTTGGACATAGAGGAGGCCCAATCAGGCAGGCCAGCTCTCCCATGAGGCAAGATGAGGCACCCGCCTCAGGCAACAGAATCCACTGGGGCAGCAGATCCCAATATCAATCTTTTCCCCCACCCCAGCCCTTCTTCCCTGGCAGAGAGGGAGGTGCCATTTTGGGGCCTGCCTCAGGTGCCCAGATATCTTGGGCCAGCCATGCCAATCAGGGACTAAAAGTGGGTATCTTTAGTTGGAGGATATTGGGAAACTGGACCAGCGGAGTCCATCACCAGGTGACCATTGAGGGAACGTACGTCTTTTCACATAAGAGGCACTCGGCTATCTGTGGCAACCCCACAGTCCCTGCCTAGAGGGACTCCCCTTTTTTTGCCTCTGCCCTTTTCTGGTTATACTCTCACCGGCCCTCAAGAGTGGGGCAAGCACAGAAAACCGACCGGCTCAGTGTCGTTGCTGACATTCCCACACAAGACCAGCGTTGCTGGCATGGTGCACTGCAGCAGCCCGAGATGAATACGCCACCCTTGTGCTCTTTGGACATGGTTGCGTACATGTTGATTTTTTTTATGATGCCGTGGCAGATCACCTATATCCCTCTTGCATGTGGCATCAGCAAGCGGGGAAAGGGAAGAAGAAAAAAACAAAATGGGAAAAAGTCCACCGAGAACTTCATCTCAACTTTCCTTGATGCGAAGAAGTTGAAATAGGATCTGTCATTCCCTCCTCGTGTGCTTCACCATCTTGGCGTGGCAGCTTCAAAGATTCTCATTCTCATTCATCCATCTTCCCAAAAGATGGAGGGGGGAGGGAAGTGAGAAAAAGCGCAATCCGTTCAGTCCCAGATCCTTTGCGTCAGGCCTGCCCAGGTTCATAAATCAGCCATTTCAATACTCTGCCCATTTCAAATGACGTCCAGCTCTTTCATTAAGCTCATGATTTATCGCTGGAAGGTGCTCTCTTTTATTTTATGCCCGATTTATAAACTTTTTTTCCTGCTCTTTCCCCACCCCACCCCTCATCGGAGATCATGTTCGCTTTGTCCACCGGGCCAACGAGACAGTAAATTTATTGTCTGAGAACCGCTACTCTGAAAGATGACATCAATGCGAAGAGCGTGCTTGCGTTGCCACTTCCACGGACGAGACAGCCATTGGAGAATCCGCGCTGGGTGGAGTCATGAGGTCACTCGCCATCACGGGTGGACCTGTGGCATAAAAGCGCATGATGGGGGCAACAGCAGGAGAAGACGCCTCAGCCAGGTGGGAATCTCAGCGCTGACGTTTTGGGGAGGCATGATGGACAAGCTGACCTGGATCTGCCTCTCCCTTGCCAGTCTCTCTGGCCCACTGTGGGCAATCCCTGTGGCCAGCGAAGGGTCCTACTGGCTCCCAGGTAAGTCCTCTCCCTTTCCATTTGCTCAGTAAGACATTGTTTGGTTGTGGAAGAATAGGTTCAGGAGAACCAGAAAAGCCAAGGGAGAGAGATTTGGGGAACTATCTCCCCCACTGCGGGGCATCCAGTCACACCGCTTCTTTTAGGGAACAGGTAAGACACGCCTCTTCCAGCAGGAGTTTGCCCTCATAGCTCAGTGGCAAAGCATCTGCCTTGCATGCAGAAGGTCCCTGGTTCAATCCCCGCTGGCCTGAGACCTTTGAAAACTGCTGCCAGCTAGTGTGGACAACACTAAGTTAGATGCTCCAACAGGCTGATACAGCATAAGGCAGCTTCTCATGTTCCCAAGGAGAGGAACGGCCAAGAAATTTATGAATGGGTCGACATTGCTGCTTTAAATAGGATTTGGGCTGATACAATTGTTTTAAGTTCTTGTGTTGGGTGGTTATTGCATCATTTATTATTATGACAGGAACCGCCCTGAGGGCCTTTGGGCAAAGCATATCAATTTCCTAATATAAATAAATGGATAAGCATCCCAGTTCACACAGGTGTGCCGATTGCTTGAGGACTAGAAGCTGGGTGTCAGCTTTAGGGAGCCCCTGGTGCCCTAAATGGACCCTCAAGGGATGATCAACAGGCACATCGGGGAACCGGCAAGCCCTTTGCCGGGAACCTGTCAGGATACAGAATCAGAGAATTGTAAAATTGCAGAGTTGGAAGGGACCTTGCAGGTCATCTATTCTAACCGCCACCCCCCCCCCACTGGAAATGGCTCCTGCACTAGGCACTGCCAAATACGAGGATCTTTGAAAGAGCATCAGTCCTTCCATTGAGAAGCTTTTCCTCCTGACGTTTAATAATGACAGAAGAGAATGAATGCCCATGAAAGCCACTCATCCCTGGGAATGGTCATTGTAGCAGCCTTTGTAGGTTACTGAGATCTGCTCCTTGTCAAAGGATGAGGTGGGTGGTTGACGCTGCTGGAGCCCTGCGGAAAGAAACTGGGGGGGACTTTGGCTGCAGAGGAACGCCAGACCCTGACATGATCCTTTCTGGCTGGGGTGAGGAGGGAGGCAAAGGTTTTGAGCCACAGTTCTTCACTTGCAGCAGGACAGGTCTGACCCAAGGAAGCCTAATTTGCTTACGGAACTCCCTGCCACAAGCAGCTTAGATGGCCTTTTTAAAAAGGCATGTCCGGGGGCAGGCTGAGCCTCTCAGAGGCCCAGCTTTTGACATTCCTACCTATAATGAAAATTAAAAACGGCGAGCCAGCACAGAAAAACAAAATAGGGCATTCAACAACCGAAAGCTGCTTCCTTTTATTGCTTCAGACTCACAGCAGTAAATAAAAATGATCTGCCTGAGGGCAAGTCTGAGTACTAAATGCACAGACTGGATGGGAGAAATTGGCATTGGAAACTCCTGAGTCTCAAATATTTTGGCAGCAGTTCTAAGCCCAATTACCTGGGAGTAAGCCCCACTGAATTCAATAAAACTTACTTCTGAGTAGATATGTTTAGGATTGTGCTGCAAATTGCTGTGCAAATGGCATTTTAAAAATATTGTGAATACAACTGCCCAGGGGAATGCGATTATAATTTATGTGCAAAGCACACACCGCCATTACCTGTCTGTGCATCTTCCTTGTGTGCACATAATGTGCTTTCTTACAAAAAAGTCACAATTCATATCAGAAGCAGACAGAGTGGGAGAAAATAATAAGAACAGAGACATTTTCAGCGCTAATGCGGAGGAGCTTTAAAGTCAAGATTCAAACAAGAGGCGTCTTGAAAGAGGCCAACAGAGGTTTATAAAAAGTGAGAAATATATTAAAAACACACATACACAAACAACAGGAATAACAACAAACTACAGAGGCCCACAAACCCAGAGCCACAAGCCTGTGGGCCTCAGTTCACACACCCTTTTCAGTACAGCCAGGCAGACCCCATCAGAACCTGGAATTGCCCCAAATGTTAATAGGTATCAGTTAACAACAAAAAGTATCATTTTACTAAACCATGTATCTTCTTTGCTTAAATTTGCAGTTATAAGCTGTGTGTGTGTGTGTGTGTGTGTGTGTGTGTGTCTGAGAGAGAGAGGGGGGGGGTGTTGTCCGATGTGCATAAAAGCAAGTTTATCCAATGTCCAAAAATTGGCATCTAAATCTGAGGGGGCCCTTGAGGCCCCGGGCCAAGGGGCCCTTCCTGGCTCCCGCCCCATAGTATGCCCTAGATGCAGGGGCCCTCTGAAGAGCAGAGGGTGAGCCCAATAGAGTAGCAGGGGGCAAGCTGCCCCATAGACACTGGAGGACTTTGGTCTGATCCTACACTCTTAAAGGTGACAGAATAACGCAGGGGGAAAGCTACTGGGTAGGGGGGGCTCTCTTTTGCAGGGAAAAAGAGAAGAAGGTGGGTGGATTGTGCAGAGCCCCTTTTTGGGGGGGGGTCTACTACCACAAGCGTTTCAATTGCCACCCACTATGCCTCAGTTGGCCCATGACAAGGCAGAGGTTCCCCCCTCAGGCTGTGTGTGTCATTCTCTCCTTACAGCCACTGATGAAGATGCCAGGATAACTCTGGAGGCCCTGAGCAGCAGGAACAGAGGGTCCTCCCTCATGCAGACCCCACGGGGATTAGTGGGAGCACAGGTGGAAGACACTCTGAGGAAAGCAGGTAAGACAGAGACACCCCCTCTCGCCTCTGGAGGAGCAAGCCAGGCAGGACATTATTGCAACGCAGATGACCAAACTGCTGCTTCCCAGTGGATCCTGTTCCAAGGGTTGAAGCCGCCCACACCGTACCTGCCCTTAAGACTACCTGTTCACCTTCTTTTGCACTCCATGCAGCCTAGCCAACCAGGGAGCATTCAAAACAGAGCCAGGGGTCTTCAGACTGATGGGTCAGGACCTATGGCCTGATCCAAGGCTGGGTGCAACTGCAGCAGGTGGATTTGAAAGGGCGGGAGACCCCTGGTGTAGTGGTTAGGGGGCTAAACCAGGAATCGGGAGACCAGGGTTCAAATCTCCGCTTGGCCACAAACTCTCACTTGGGCCAGTCCTTGCCTCTTCACAGGGTTGTTGTTAGGATCAAGTGGGAAGAAAGTCACCTTGGGTATAGAAAAGGTGAGATAAGAAAGTCCTGATAAGCGAGATGCTGGGGAGGGGCAGAATAGGGAAATGCCTGGTATTTTTACTTTTTTGTTTTGTTACTTTTAATTTGGAAAACTCCCATCCAAAGAGGAAACGTTGAGCAGAGCCTCTTCTTCTTCCCCTCTAGGATTAAGAGCTGGCAAACTGGTTTGACCAGCGCCAACCATGAGCTGAAAGAGAGCATGGGCACACTGCCCCCTTTGACTCTCTCTGTCAACTCCTGTCATAGGAATCAACGTCCAAAAGCTCCCACCAAGGGCAGCTGGGGAAGGGGACCAAACCAAGGGTGGAAAATGGGCCACGACCCAAGCCAGCCTCACCTTTCCAAAGGAGAAAGCAATGCCTGAATGTATCTTTTCTTTTTGTTCCAGGTCTCCAGCCCAGAGGCTTTATGCCATCGAGGGAAAATGTCAAAGAGGTGAGAAGCCCCCAAGCCCAAGGCCATTTGAAAGCTTTTCTTCTTGTTATGGGTGCTGTGGCTCTGCTGGGTTCTCAGCGTGTGGCCAGGGACTCTCGGTCAACCTTCCTTACATGGCTCAACATGCCTTTCCCATATTTCTGTTCACTTTTCTTAGGTACTCTTCGGAAACCTCCCCCAGAACACGCTGCTGAGCCGCTTGCTAGCCACAGACAGGAAGCAGTACAAGAAGCGTGGAAACCTCTCCGAATGTTTCTGGAAATACTGCGTGTAACTGATGGCTGGGAGTGGCTGATGGCCAACTGGACACCCCCTCCAACTCCCCATTCTGGCTCCTTTATTTATGTCATCAAGAAGAATCCTAGAACCCTGCATATAGATTTGTCCATATTTAAAAGATTAAAATAAAGAAATGTGAAGCTGGCAAAAACAAATCACACTCCAGACCACAACTTCTATGATCCTTGCTGTTTGCGAGAGGAATAAATCCTATCTGGTTTGCTAAGATCTTGTAAGCAAAGAATTGTTTTCTTCCTTTGATGGTTTCTGTTTGTATTTCAGCAGGGAGCAAGGCCCGCACATGGATAGGCTTTGAGTCTTTCTTTGTGTGTTATGCTGTGCCAGGCCAGCAGAAGGGAGGCAGGAAAAACACTTAGTAGTTTCTCGGGGGGGGGGGGGAGCACTGGGAAAGGAAGGCCAGACATTTCTGTCCCAATTAAGGAAAGCAGTGGAAATGGCAGACTTCAGCTGTCACTGACTCTGCTGGCATTGAACTGGGTGTCCCTAGACTGACTATTCCTTTATGACAATCAAACCCAATTAACTTTTTTTAAAAAGGCTCTCTACCCCCTGCAACCTCCGCTCTCATTTTTAGGCACAGACATGACAGCCTGTCCCTCGACCTCAGATGAAGAGTGGAGCTGGCAATGATGAATGGGCAGCAGCTCTTTGGAAGATGCCCGTCATAAATCTCTGCCTCTCTGGCGGGAGCATCATGCTGCAATCAGATAAAATGCACGGAAAGTTGATGTGATTTAAGAAGAACCAGCTCCGCTGAAGGGAGCACTTCCTCTCTATGGCTTTGACATAGTTTGGGAAGATTTGCAGTGTCTCTCAAAGAGTAAACAAGCCTCAGATGGAACAGCGAGCAAATGCAAGGTCCTTCTTAGAATCAAAACAATTAAGTGTAGCCATCAACTTGGATGAAATTATGAGTTATCTTGTTGCCGCTGCCAATTTGCCTTTACTTAATTCTGAAGCAGGTTCTGAAATCCCCCATCCTGTGTTTTTCACTCAAAATGTGTAAAGACTGAAACTAATTAAACTTTTTCCCCCCTGACATGGCTCCCCTTCACTTCCCCAATGATAGGAAGGTCCAACAGCAGAAAGGCACCATGTTGTGGTTGTTGGTGGTGGTGGTGGTGAAGAAAGAAGGTGGTGCTGGGGCTGCATTTTAAATTGCAAAATGACACTCAGGAAGAAAATTTTCACATTTTATTTTGTTTCAAAAAGAGAAAAATTCTCCCCATCTCACGCACAAACAGGTCACCTTTTAAAAACGTGCATATTGAAAAGTATGGTACAAACAATTTTTTGCCCCCAAACCATTGTGGCTTGCAATGGGTGTGTGTGTGTGTGTCCCATTCCTAGAGCAAATCCTCCTGAGCTGCGGCAGGTGACATGGTCTCTATCAGCAGCATCAACATTATATATACTGGGTTGTAGCACATGAGTCCTACTCAGAGTAGGTCCACAGAAGTTAAAATGTCCTGGCTACGTTAGGTGCATTAATGGGACTACTCTGAAGAAAACTTAGTTGGTGACAACTTTTTCTTCTTCTTTAAGAAAGTGGTTCTCAAGGAGGGGAAAAATAACTCTCCCTTCCTTTCCCAGCTAACTGCCTGGCATCACACCAAGCCAAGAGAAGGCAGATCCTGGGTGTAATTCAAAGGCAGAAATGAGGGAAGAGAGTTTTGTCAGTTTAAAATGCTGCTATTTCTACTTCTGGAAAACTTGACAGCCCTCGACGACGAGAACCCTAATATATTCCTTGGTGAGCCAAAATTATTTCAACAAAAGTAGTGGCAGGAGAGGAGCACCGTCTACACAGAACTGCCTGAAAACCCCGCAGTTGGCTTCAAACAGAAAAGCATCACCTGACACTGCTATCACCTAAGGTGATTGACAGGTGGGTGGCCCTCCAGGGGTGGGAGAGAGGAAAATCTGGCTCTCTGCCATGAAAAGGACTGGACAAGATCTGGCCAGATGATCTCCAGGCATTAATCCAGCTCCAATGGGGAAGCCCCATTGGTGGAGATGGTGTGTGTGTGTGTGTGTGTGTGTGTGTGTGATGAGCACATGCGCACCTGACTACTCATGGATTCTGGGAACCAAATGGTCTTTTGTAGTGGGGCCCTTTCCGCTTTGTCCCAAACAAGAACCAACTATTAGTTGCCATAATTTCAGAAATTTTGGAGTGGCATGAGGGGTGAGCCTTTGGAACCAGCATCTTGGAGAGCCAGAGGGAAAGATGAGCCGGGTCACGTGCACAGGAAGGGTGGGCTTCTCTAGGGCGGTGCCTGTAGTGGAAGCAGCGGTGTCTCATCAAGGAGGTCCTTGCTGTCCTCCTCTTGAGGATCTCTGTCCTCCAGCCCAGCAACAATGTTCAACCCAGCATTCCTGTTGTCACACATGATGCAGCCCTAGCAAGGGAAGGAAGTTGGTGAGTAACGTGGAAGAATGGAGCCCTCCTGGGCAGGACGAAAGGTCCACCTGCTCCAGCTTAGAGATGTACAATTTCCAGAAATTTTGAAGCCATGAGAAAAAAACTGTTTCCCCCAACTTTTCCTCAGAAAAAACAGAAATTTTTGAAAAATTGAAAAAAAAGTTCAGTGTGGAGTAGTTTTACAGATTGTGTGAATTGCAATAAAATAGGTAACCACCACCTCTTTCCCTCAAAAGCAACAAAGAAAGCAAGAAACCATCAACATAAAAAATAATCAGATTTGCCACAGCACCAATAGCAAATAAAGTTAAGATCCAACTCAGTATTTAAGTTCCATAGGTCTACCCTTGGAGTAGTGTTTTTTTAAAAGAAGAAACGGAAGACACAACATATACATGCAGTTTATTCTATCTCATTTTCTGAACTACTACTATCGTTTTTCATTTCTTCTTCCTCTTCGTCATTTTTCTCATGGACTTCTAAAAAACGGCTTTGGAAAAAATCGAGGGAAACCTGTCTGTGTCCCCCCCCCCCCCGCAATTTTTCTGGTTTTTTTCCAGGCCTTCCCATCTCTGCTTGAGGACAGTTACTGAATAGTATGTTGCACTAAGGCTCAAACTCAATTTGAAAGGAAAAGGAGTATGTGTGTTTTTTAAATTGAATTTGTTGTTATATATTATAAACTGCATGATGGTAAGAGAGCTCCTAAACAGTTTACAAAAATATGCAACAGAACATTAAATTGATTGATAAAACACAGTTAAAAGCAGGTATTTAAGAGTATTCAAAAGGTGACTGAAGTCAGCAGTGGTTAAAAGGAAGTAAATCGCATGCAGCTTCTATGTGTTCAGATGGGCTGGCCCTAACAAAAATGTTTTGAGCAGTTGCCGGAAAGAGTACAGTGAGAGCACATGGATTTGAAACCCACAGTACCAGCTTCCATGCACCCAGGTTTCCTTACTTGGGTGTCAATTTCTTGGGGGACAGTCTGGGTGCGAATCCAGGGGTGGACCTCTGCCAGCTCCTCCTTCTGCCCTTCCGAGAAACAGGGCTGCTTGCTCTCCAGGGTGGCCAGCTTCTCCAGGTCCTCTTTCAGCACCTCCTCTGCAATTCTGCAAGAGATGAGAAGCTGGCTAGATAAAAAGGCACCAGCCCGACAAAGCCAAAATCCTGACATCACCTCCTCCTACAACCTTCTGCATAAAGTTCAGCTAGTTTTCACCACCCAGAGTCCTACAGAGAAGGTGCGGCACCCTCCAAAATCTTAAAAGCCTTAAAACAACATTAGCTGCTAAAGCTGCAGAAAATCAGGCCTTTTGTACCCCAGCCATGCCTGGAGGGCTGCAACTCCCATTGCTGTTGTCCCTGGTCATTGATCCTGGGGGACGTTAGGGCGCAGTTTAGACAATCCAATATCTGGAGGCCCAACAGATCCCTTCTGAACTGAATCTTCCCTACTTTGCAATCACAATCTCTCTGCCACCCATATTTTGCAGTTGGATGCAAAACCTAAGCCCTACCCAAAGCACTTCTCTGTTCTTTATGAGCCTTTCCTCAAATTGTTCCATCTCTTCAGGTTCCTGAAAACAACTCCAAAGACATTTCAGGGCTGCCTCTGCCTTCTCAACAACAGCCTAGGGAACAGGCAGCAGAGTGATGAGAGGACCTCCCAATTGTAATTCCAAAGACTCTGCATGAAATGCAGATCTGCCCCTTGGCAACACATCCATCCATCCACCCAGGACCGGGCTGCCCATGGCTCTCCTTTCCTCCATTTACCTCTCTTCCTGGCCCATTATTAAAAAAACAAAAACATTCCGCATTTCATCCATTGTGTTAAGATACTCATCAGAACAGGCTCTTTCTGCTCCAGTGCAGAGACAGACCGGGATGGTGCCTGTGAGAGTTTCGGGAGATTTTCCTTGATGGAGAAGACTTCCATCAATAGCCACCACTCCCAGCAACAATAAAAACCCAATGTGCCCAGCACCTCACAAGGGGGCAAACATCATGGGGCCTGCTGGTGACTAAGCTACGGAAATCCTATTTTGCTCCCCTTCTTGAACTGCTTGCCCTTCCCCATCCCAATTTTCCCAGCGCTGCCTTCTGGAAGGCAGGAGGGCCTACCTAGTTTGGAGAAGTAGCAAAGCAAAGGCGTTTTCTCACCGCTTTGGCATTTGGTAGGTCATCTGGATTGGTTCAGGCAAACTATTCACTGTCCTCCACACCAACCTGGCTGGCCGCGGTGGCCATTCCACCTCTTCTCCTCCTTCTTCACTGTTCTTCCCCCTTTTTGAGACCTCGGAGGAATCATTGCTGGCAAAGTATTTGCTGCTGTTTCCGCTGCCTGTTTGGAGACAGGTGGGTAGACATGAATGAGATGTGGGTTTCTGCACAGGCCAATCTCAAGGCAGGGAGGAGGGTGACCGTTCCCCTGCTAGCAAATCCCTTTGGGCTTCTCTTTCTGTGGAAGCCGACACACACAGCACTTCCTCTCCTTCTAAGTTGTGGCCTAGTCACTCAAGAAAAAGGGGCTGCAGAGATCCCAA